GGCGGTCGCTTTCACGTAACATTACTGGCGAATCTGAATTGTATTTACTAGGTAACAACATTTAAATTCCTCTGATCGGCGGCAACGCGACCGCGCGGCGTGAGCGCGATGAAACTCGTATCGAATAAATGCGTCCTTACCCCTTCAAAACCGTAATACAGTAATGCTCTCACAACTGTATCAGTGCCTCTACCACGAGTTTACTAAGACAGTTGTCACTAGTCACTGCGTAAATTACATTACAATTTTGTATGGCAAATTATACAGCGCCCTTAGCGATAACAAGAAGAAACAACATTTTGTATGTTTAAACATTTTACGCAGCAGCTAGCGATAGCTGTCATTGTAATCTCATGGTAGAACCACAGAAATTCTGATATCCGAAAAATTCCAACCCCCATTGCTGCTTCAGACATTTGGATTCGAAGTGGGCTGCATCGCGCCAGCCCCACATTGTGGGATCAACAATGCCACGCATTCTGGACTTCGGCTACCCTCGCCAACCATTTGCAATTGCTGTGACTACTGCATGCCATTTTTCGGTTAGTTTATTTATCTGTTTTTATTTTTGCAGTCATCTTTTACAACATTTTTTGTTTTGTTGTCTGATATCTTACTACACTAGATTGCATTATGAACACGGAAATTTCGTGGAATTACATCTATATACCAAGTTTTATTGAAAATGGTTACCGGAAAGTGCGCGAAACCGTATTCATCCCCTAGTTTGCCACCCTTAGAGGTGAAATGTTTTCTTCAAATTTAAATGGGACTACCTACTCAAGTATCCTCTTTCGAACAAAAAAGAATCATCAAAATCGGTTCACAAATGAACGAGTTGTGACGTAACATACATACAAAAATAGACAGTCGAATGGAGAACCTCCTCTTGTTTTTAAAGTCGGTTAATAAAGAGTGAGCTGAACTAGGACCTATTCAGAGTGTAAGCGCGAACGCGGCAGCGGGTGCGTTTGCAGCACGTTGCGCGTGGAGGCTGCATTCGTACAACACGGGTACGATTTATTGCTTTACCACACCGTTTCCCAAAGTGGACCTTGCCCAGTGGGCGCTGAAGAGTCCTAGGTAAGGGCTTCGGAAGCAATTGGGGGCGTTGATGCTGTCCGGGGCGTGCCACCGCTTTTGAAAAAAACCACCTAAATTATCTATATTGTGTCGAATTATTAGGTTTTCGCGATTGTTACACACAGAAAATGAAACTATTTTTCCGGATTTAAATCACGTATATTTGTTTTTTCAAACAAACCGACGTTTCGGGCCCTTTACAGGTCCCATGGTCACGTGTCACAGTCTACCGTGACCATGGGACCTGTAAAGGGCCCGAAACGTCGGTTTGTTCCGGAAAATCCGGAAATCCGGAAAAATAGTTTCATTTCCTATATCTATATTGTGATTTTTTGTGTTAAGTTAATATAAGAAATACGCGTTTTCAATTATTTTTTTTGTTGTGGTGGTGGGTGTTGAATTTTTTTTATCTAGCGTAAGTGGGCGATGACCCAACAAGTTTGGGAACCTACCCTATACAATGCTTCACCACTAGCCTATACAATGTTAACTTGACTGTCAAAAGAGAGAGATCCTAATAGGTAATACATTGCTAAAACAAACAACCAAAGGAGCTGGAAAAAGACGCTTCAGAATGAGTGAACGAACATGGACTGCGGAAGAACAAATACAAAATCGTGCATCAATAAAACAATAACTACATAAATAACAATAACAATTACCTTTAAACATACTTTCATGACATGACAATAGGTTTTCCATTTTTGTAATTATTGACATTTACTAGTTATCAACAGCTTTTGATAACTTTCCCCTTATTAACCGACTTCAAAAAAAGGAGGAGGTGCTCAATTCGACTGTATATTTTTTTCGTATTATGTATGTTACGCGATAACTCTCGCGATAAAAATTTGTCAACCGATTTTGATGATTTTTTTTTTGTTGGAAAGAGGGTACCCCAGAAGTGGTCCCATTTACATTTGAAGACAATATTTCACCTCTAAAGGCGGCAAACTAGAGGATGAATGACTTTTGAAGTCTGTTTTTTTAGTACTCTGTACAGAGATTATTTTTGTCACGTTTTTGACACACGATAATAACATAATTTACGGACATTGTTATTATTATTGTTTTAATTATTTATTATTTGTTTTTCTTTTCTTTTTCTTCAAATATATTATTTTATCCAATGTTGACCAGTGAATTATAGGACTAAATTGCTGACTTCACTATGTTTATGCACTTTTTAATGCTAATTAACATTATCTAAATTTTTATATGGCTTTCGGCATATTTAATAATTGTAATAAATTAATGGCATAGCATTACGAAACAGTCATTGTAGTGCCCTTACTAGGGTTCATGGGCTGTGTTGGGATTCGTGCCCAACGTATGTAATGTAGAATGTTCGTAAGAATGTATGTTTGATGGGAATTGTATGTTTGCCTGTGTACACTGTGTGTGTAGGTTGATGTAAAATAGGTAAGGCACCGTACTGTCCGAAGGTCTTTATTGTACTAAAAATATACAATAATTGTACATAAAATGTAAGCGCAACAATGCGCGCGATCAACAACATATTTAGGTTAAATTACGACATATCTAATATACTGCTCGTACATGCAGGAATACCTTTATGTAACTCCATTGTTAACCCGTATGTAACAACGAATTATGAATTATAAATCAGTAGCTTTACCATAAAATCTGATTTCAGGCAAAGGTGAATATTGCAGTTTAGGAGGCCCAGGGACAGGCACAACAGTGGGCCGGTGTGGCCCTGGTCTCACATGTACAGACGACGAGGACGCCCATAGCAATTGTCAAAGAAGTAAGTGAGATCCGTGGCGGATTTGCAGTCTATGTCATGTAGTCAGTACCAGTCGCACCTTTTTAGTTAACTATAATAGCAGACGCGATAGTGATAATATGTAGTAATGTAGTGATTATACATTACATTATATATATGTAACATATCTATATTTTGTAAATAAAAAGTACGAAAGTGATTTACGAAGATTATTGTTACACGATGCGGCGCAGTGCGGCCCGCAATAATATGCGTGAGCCTTTACAATATTTAGGCACTTTGGATTATTTGTTGTTATCATCAGTGAATTTCTTTGTCACGATTGGCCGCCTTAAAATCTGGCCGCCCTAGGCCCGGGCCTACTGAGCCTTATAGCAAATCCGCCACTGAGTGAGATGTAAAATTCATGCTTAGTTATTTACGCAGGGAAGAGGTGGTATAAAGACGATAACAGCGGTAGACTAAGCTCTGTTGTACCATTATATATCGAGACGAATAGCAAGGGGAGGTATATTGGTGATATAGGTACCTAAGTGATTTGTGCCTTCACACTCTTAACAACTCGCTAGCGCTGTCTCATGAATTTGCTTGCATAGGAAACTGTGTGGCGATTCTGTTTAAAAAATATCGCCAAATTACTTATATCACCAATACACCTTCCCTTACTGGTAACTTCTTACAAATGTAACAGCACGTTTTGTATGTGTGTACCCGTCGCGTGCCGTGTACGGACGCACACTTTAGTAAAACATATTTATATAGTCATATTTGGTAATAAACTTTTAGTCAGCGACACACCTAATTCATAAAAGTTGCAGTGCCACTCAGAGTTTTAAATTGTAAAAATCTGAGGGGCACTGCCAATGCGCCTGTTACCCTGAGACATAACAAGTCCCATGTGTTTGTAATTTCATCAGCTCTTTTACCCTTCCAAATGGGAACGCAGTAATGCTTACTTTACCGCTTAGCGGCAGAAATAGGTAAGGTGGCATTACTGAAAGAGTTGATGGTAAAGAAAAGAAAAAGGAAAGGAAGGGAAAGGCTGTACAAAACAAGAAAAGGTTTATACAAACAGGTACAACAGTATAAAACACTCCCTTACTACGGATTAACAAAATGTCCAGACACTTACTCCAAAAAGGGCCGGGTTATGCGGTATTACAGATTGGTATTAAAATTGGCGCATGATTAGTAATAGCTTTTACAAATCTGGTAAAGGAATTAATTAGATGCAACTGAAATTTAAACAGCACTGTACGCTGCCGTGTTCGAGCAGAGAGTTGGAACGAAACAAAATCAGAACGGCAAAGGAATTAATAGAGAACGATTCAAAATTTAAAAACGAGTGGCCAGGAAGCGGAGAAAAGGCGATAAAAAGCTGGGATGACGATGTAAGGTGGTCGCATCGTCACATTACATCCCTGGACGAACTCTTTCACAATTATCTCTACTGCTGTTATTCTCTGGATGTCTTAAACCCATAGTTTCCTTCACCGTTCTGTTTAGATCAAATAGTTTAGATAAATACAATTAAATAACGGTCTTACAAAAATTTTCGATACACCAAAGGATATTGTCTAAGTAATGTGCTAATATGTTACACGATAAGATGTACTTTATCCGATCATATGACGGCCATTCCCACATTCGGTGTTCTCAGCCTAATTACCGTAGCCATTTCGGTGCCCTCAGCCTAATTACCGTAGCCATTGTTTTTTTTTTTCGCTTAGTGTACCCAATAACATTCAAATATGAACAATTTTAAGCTTAATTATCAATATGTCTAAATGGCGTTAGAATAGACGAAGTAGTTGCCCAGTTATTAGGACACGAACATTTTATGGAAACGGTAATTAGATCTGATTACCGTAGCCGTGAATACGGTAATTAGAAAGTTAGAAAAACTATGTCTGACACAGTTGAATTATTATTTACACATTTTGCTACATTTGGTTTATTTATACTAATACAAGTGCCATTCAAAATTTTTTTCAATAAATTTAAGTGTGTTTCTTAATATTTGGTTATTAAAAGTACTCCAATTCTTTCTTATGATTAATCATAGCTGTTACAAGAACAGTTTAATAATTTACACTTAATTCTTTATGCCTGATTTCTGCCGATAAAATAGCTTAAAAGTTTAAAAAAGAAATTTATATCGGTGTAATTCATTACAAAAAGTGAAGAAAATTAAAATCAAAGTTTATATACTGTTAGTTGTTCTTTATAATTTTTGTTTTTAAGTATTCATACATGTTTGAACTTTCTAATTACCTTAATTACATCTTAATACCGTTTCCATAAAATATTTCCTTCTTAACTACTCGAAAACTACCTTGTCCATTCCTAAAGCCCTTTAGACATATTGATAGTTAAGCTTAAAGTTGTTCATATTTCAATGTTATTGAGTATATTAAGCGAGAAAAAACAATGGCTACGGTAATTAAGTTGAACACCGAATGTGAGAATGACCGAGAAAATCCTGAAAACGGGCTAAAACTTTGTACATTATTTTCAGGAGATATTTCTCTTTAAGTACCTACAGCAGAAAACCTGCTAACTTATGGTTTTCAACTGAAGGCCTATTAGTTATTAAATTCACATTTATGCCAAAATTTGAATATTGCCCTGCAGTTTAACGACACGCCGTGCTGCCCGCTGCCCTTTCAGTCGTCATCGATCGCTTATCGATATCGGATGTATGTCAAATTTTCTCCGAATGTTTTATTCAGATTTATTTACACATCTCCCACGTCTCATCTCCTAAAATCTAGGTTCGCATTGTGAAATACCTGGCCTTAAATAATGTCATCTGTTACAGTCACATCGAAATGCCACGATGCTCAAGACGAATACGATAAAAGATACGAACAGGGCACAGTCGGAAGCCTGGAGTTCCGACGTCAGTGCGATGGAAGGGGCAACTTCTCAACTTTCGACTGCGTGCCTACTCAGACGTAAGTGGTCATCATGAACTTCAGAACTTTCCGTAATTTCTAGACAATATGTGGGAACAGAAGTGATGATAAACGTCTTGGCCATCACATCTTTTGAACTGCCAAACAACCCCTCTTTTCGAGTTCTTAGGTTTTTGCGATTGTTACACATAGGAAATGAAACTATTTTTCCAGATTTAAATCGCGTATATTTGTTTTTTCAAACAAACCGACGTTTCGGGCCCTTTACAGGTCCCATAGTCACGGTTGACTGAGGTGGTACAGTCTTCAACCAGTTATATCTAATATTGATGCAAACCACCCTATTTTTTCACTATAGTTACAATAGTTATTAATTAAATACCTTATTTTTAATTTTACAAAGAAAACATTCCAATTTACGCCATATTAAGTTTTACAAATTATTTTATCGAATGAATTGTTATTAAGTTTAATTGGTCGCGTCGGTTTGTTTGAAAAAACAAATATACGCGATTTAAATCCGGAAAAATAGTTTCATTTCCTATAACCCCTCTTTTCGATTAAGTACTGGGAGTATAAACCACAGAACAATAAATACAGTAGAAGTGGTTAGTTAGCGTCTTACGCGTGCCAACTATAGGTCTCGAAAGACCTATCTGACCTCAGTCCATCATTTTCGCTTTGTATGGTATGGTTAAATTGTGTCATTCTTTCATGATAATTCTCTAAAATTCTAGAAAAACGCCCTATTGTGCTGTTTTGAAGAGCAAAAATGATATTCGTGGTGGTATTTCATATCATCGGAAAGTCTTACTTTTAGTAAATTATCAATTTTCTGTTAAGAGAAATATTTTTTTTGTTACAAGAAACGTAAGAAAAGCTTATACCCCTGCAATATTGTCGCTTCTTGTTTGGCGAACTAAATAACTCCAATTCGTGGTCGTTCAGCAATTAACCGCTAGCATGTTAAATAAAATTTCAATATAATGTCAAAACGTCGTAACTTGGTAATAATGGTATTGATGGAATTAAACTTTCAACGATATGCCAACAGGATAAAGTTTAAATTATATTAACAATACAGAATTTGTTATATCTTTTTAAATTTGAAACTACGACCAATCAATATCAAGATTTTGTAGTGTTCAAATTAAGAATGTATGAGTTTTGGCGACATCGGTTCTGATGTTCTGATAGTCATCAAGGCACTTCCAGTGTTTTTTTCTTTCGTGGTATAAATCGGTCTCAAGGTGTCCTGATATTTCCAGGTGTTTCTGCCAATCCGAAAATGGAGAAAGGATCTTTGGAGAAATGTTGGAAATGGGTGCTGTAACAATACGGAACATGCATTGCGGTATGTACCTAATGGAAGATAATAATAATCCTGATCACAAGTAGCATATTCGGTTTTGTCGATATCTATTAGATATATTGCTGATGTAGTTTAAGAGTAAGTTATCTCTCAATTTATCTTCAGAATGTTGTATAGATAATCTCAAGTAAAAAAGGGGACCGGTTTGAAGTAAATTCAGGAGAAAACTTTTACGCAGTTTATAGAGAAGATCCAGTAATTGAAGTTTTTAAGAGGGATTTAAAAATAGTTTTATTTGAAATCATTGCATACTGAGGGTTCTTAAATTCAAGTACCGTATTTAGGCCAAAAACCTCGTGGCCTAAGTAATAGGTGCAAGATTTTAAGACCTAAGTATGTGATGATGAATGGTCGGAAAAAGTGTACAGATGAAGCTACAAGGAGTGATATGGCGATGCCTAACTTTTTCAAACTCGTATCTTATAAAGAGCGTCTATTCAGGAGATGGCAAATCTTTCTATTTATTTCAAATTTCTTATCAAGGGTGTTAATTTCGATGTATTGCTTAGAATAAGTAAAGCCAGTGTGTAAATATGAGACGTGAAATCAGCCTGCGAAATTTGTGTATACAATCCATACTTTGCATTTCAATTAATTACTTTTCGATTTCCGGATATGGTTTTTTGTTATCTTCTATATTTTTTTACATGGCACCCATTAACTTAAGTCAATGATGGCACCATTAGAATTACTTTAAAATCCAACTTCGACTTCCTAGGTCAATAGTTTTGTCTTACTATGCAATAAAACCCTTTCCGGAAATCCGGAATTCGAAAAAGTTTGGTGGTTTGGACAACTAAGTATATATCGCTTCTTGTAGCTATATTTATGTATGAGCGTGTATGTGGAACACCTCTTTCCGACCATTGGTAATGATCGCAGACAATAATTTTTCAACAAGTAATTTAAAATAACGAAACACAAGTCACAACCAATATTTTAAAGATTTTTTTATGTGTAGGTTTCTACACGCGGCGCGTGGTGGATGTGCATACTTATAAGCCGTTATTTGATTTAAAGTATGGTATATCATCACAGTCTAACCAATTATTTCCTTTTACACAGTGGTATTGTAAAAGATCTTGAGTTTTAGTGTCAATTTTATTTAAAGTCTTCACTATTTGACACATTATTGTACCATTTCTGTTCCAGGCTGTTCACGGTTCCACGAAAAAATGGCCAAAAATATAGCCCCCGGCGTTCCCTACCCAGTTGAAGGACCACGTTGCACGTCAGATGGAAATTTCAACCCAGTCCAGTGCTTGAACAGAACATGTTATTGCGTTGACAAGATCACTGGCGTTGCTTTGAGGAGGGATAGCATTAATTTGGATGAGAAGCCAATTACTGAGTTATCATGCTGTTAGTTTTTTATTGTCTAAGATACAGTTATTTTTATCGTACTTTTACTTACTTACTCAGCGACGCAAATGTGTCTTGGCCTCAGAAACGAGATGACGCCAGTTTCTTCAGATCTGGCGCTGTACTCACGTTCTCTGTCCGTAAATAAATAATACTCGACCAAATTCAAAGGCGCGTGATGCGAATGAAGCTTGATACCTGACACGTTCATTTAAATTTGTCAAGTATTACTTACTTGACAGTAATTGTTTTGGAAGAATGTCGGGCAGAGAATGAGAGTAGACCCCTATGCTGTCTCTTTCCAATTCTTCTTCTTCTATCTCTCTTGATCTCTATTGATTTTTTAAAAAGATTAACCTTTCTACATTGTACTTTCTACTTTCTACTTTCTACTATAATAATGTATTCAGGATGCTGTTGCGGCTGCCACGATTCTGTAGCGCTTCGGAAATGTTCGCCGTGGCCCAGGTAGATGGGTTTCCCGCTATTTTACGGAAAAGGGTGGCCTCCTTAACGCACAGATTACGTGGCAGCGGTAACAGCCTCCTGAACGTCATTGCAGGCAGGGTCCGGGGTTCATTTTTTGAGCGCTGGACCAGCCTTCATGTTTACCCAAAAAAGAGTGTTTATTTGTAAACGAATGTTGCAAATAAACACTCTTCCCTGTAATTATTATTAGGTACTAACATTAGTGTGAAAAGTATGAAATTGCCGTTTTATTGCAATAGGTTCTTTGAATTTTCATAGAATCTTCATGGTTTGAGGTTTTCGAATGAAACTTTTTTCAAATGGTTTCTGTGATTTTTTTTTAAATTTGAAACATTTGAATATCGACTTTCAATTGTTTTTGTTATTCAATTTAGACAAGAAAGATGGATACTGCGAAAATTCGAGTGATTTTGGAATACGAGTTCCGACGCGGAACTAACGCGGCAGAAACAGCCCGCAATATCAATGCTGCGTTTGGAGAGGGGTCTACTAATGAACGCACCGTGCGATTTTGGTTTAAACGCTTTCGTGATGGAAATTTCGACTTAAAGAACGAGTCACGAGGAAGACCGCCCACACAGGTGAATAACGATGAATTAAGAGAGATAGTGGAAGCCGATCCTAGTCAAACTACCCAGGAATTAGCGGCATGGTTTAACGTTACCTTACCCACAATATTGACGCACTTGCGTCAAATCAATAAAATAAAAAAATACGAAAAATGGGTGCCTCATGATTTGACTGATCTTCAGAAAGAAACGCGTGTTGAAACTTGTGTTGCCTTGTTGAACCGGTACAGAAATGAAGGAATATTGGATCGAATTGTAACATGTGATGAAAAGTGGATTCTTTATGATAACCGGAAAAGAAAAATGCAATGGCTGACCCCAGGTCAAATGCCACAACAGTGTCCTAAAGCAAAACTTACCAATAAAAAGGTAATGGTAACTGTTTGGTGGTCTCAGCATGGTGTTATTCACTATAGTTTTCTCCGATCTGGTCAAGCAATAACGGCAGATGTCTATTGTGCCGAACTCCGAACCATGTTGACAAAACTAGCAGTAAAACAGCCCCGACTCATGAATCGATCTTCACCATTATTGCTCCACGACAACGCGAGACCTCACACAGCACGAGAAACCATTTTGACCCTTCAGGAACTGCAGTTAGAAACCATTCGTCATCCTCCGTATTCACCAGACCTTGCTCCAACGGACTACCATTTTTTTCGTGATTTGGACAATTATCTACGTGACAAGAAGTTTTCTTCCCAGGAGGCAGTACAAAATGCTTTCACACAGTTTGTGCAGTCTAGATCGTCGGAGTTCTATCGCAAAGGCATTAATAACCTTCCCATTAGATGGCAGCAATGTATAGATAATAATGGCAACTATTTTGATGAAATAAATTTGTTAAAAATTTAAAAAATAAACAATTTAGATTTTCAGTACAAATCGGCAATTTCATACTTTAACCCATTGACTTACAAATAAATGGACGACGGGTCTAATACAAAAACACGAAAAAAATGTCCCAAGTCAACCTATTCGAAATTTAAATTGTAATGTCATCGCAGTATCGCGCTGTCAGTAGAACAAATGAAGACTAAAGCGGAGTTTGGCGCTCTGTATACGATTTTAGCGCCTTACAAGTGCGGACACTTTTTAGCGCGGACCCGACGTCCATATAATTGTAAGTCAATGCTTTAACCCCTATTATTACTAACCAATATGGATTTCTATCTGAATTAAATATTTTGAATTTGAATTTGAATTGTCTCTGGTCTGGGTGTTTGTGGTGCCGGTGTTGTTTCCAATTTCCATAACACAAGTGCTTTAGTTACTTCCTTTGGCATCCGAGCAACGTATGTGATGTCTAATATTCATTATTTAATTATTATTAGTATATTCGTTTTTTTTTCAAACTTACATTTTAGGCCCTATGCAGGTTCCTTGATCACAACTGACTATGGTGAAGTCATTTTACCGATCTCATAACATAACATAATATGTTGTTCGATATCATGAACGTATCTTTTTTTCAGATGACGAAGAAACAGATCTCTTTCCCTCCCAATCACTAGGCGAAGCTCCATACAACTACACAACACCATGCCTGGAACATGTTAAGGCGCAAATTGCGCTGCTAAAACAGAGCGTCGAAGACGGGTTTGACGTGGACTTCTTCAGTTCAATCCGTGGGTGTCTACCTGACGGTACTTTTGGTAGAATTGATGTAGTTAATGGCACGTAAGTAAATAATACACTGTATGTATGTATACAGATGCTTTTTGCAGCTTTAAAAAAAATCTGAGGTGAAAAAAGCAATGAAAAAAACGTTTTTTGCTGGAGTAGGTTTTTAAAAGAATGAAAATAAAAATATTACGGAGGCGTATTATTTTTTTAGATTTAATCTGACACTACCTCTGCACTACCTCTTTTGATAATAGTATTCTTCATATTATTATATAAATTGTTCAAAATGAATGGACAACACTCACTGATGTTAATATTATATCTATGGACAGGAAATTCTCCAATCTTTGTTCAGTTTATAATTTAAATGCTGTAACTATTAATATTTTTATACCAGAGCCGCGGATTGGTACCTCGATTATAGGAGTATGATTAAGAAATAGAAATGAAATGTCGAACTGCTCCGAATTTGAGGCGCTTTTGTTCAAACAACCTTAAACACAACAATAAACACGTTTACTAGTTTGATATCATTTTTTAAACACGATATTACAGGAAAATATGCATAGACGAACGAAGACAGCGCATAGGAGAGTACGAGGCCTTACGACATACTCCAGAGTATGAAACAATGAATTGTAGTAAGTTTTTTGTTTATTTACTAATCGATTTTTGTAGTTAAAGCGTAGGTGTTAGGGAATAAGCCGGTTTTGCCATCGCAGGTTATACCAAGTATCTATAGACTTAGTGTACCTCCAGCTCACGTATCCTTATTACGACATATAACGACTCCCTTCAAGCGAGGCGTGAAGAGGCATCTTATAGACATGCAGGGTGGAGGTAGCTAGTGAGTGTATCAACGTACCTTCACGTTTGGATTCCACTTTCCATTTAACATCAGGTGGATTGGAGTCATCTGCCTGTCATGTATATAAAAAAAATTAAAATGTCTTATAGTTCATTAAATGGTCTGTGGTGTAATTTTATTTAGTTTCCTTTTCGTTTGTGATTTTTTTTTTCTTAAATTTTTCTGTGTTGTTTATTTCTTTATTTTGTGTTTCTTTTTTATTTTGTTTTTCTTGTGTGGTTTGCAAATAACTAGATAGTAAATATGTTTCTGACCAGCTCAAAACGATTTAAGGATAATGAGTGTGGTGATTCCATTAGGAACAGCTGACAGGTTCTAAAGTAAAAGGCGCATGATGCAAATGAAGCTTCATACTTGACATTGTCTTTTAATTTATTCGAGTATTGCTTATTTGACAGTAATTGTCGGTCGGATATCGTACAGAAAACGAGAGTACTTAAACCTCTGGGGTCTCGCGCAGCTTCTTCTTTCTACAAAAGTCTAATTTGAACACGCCTTGTCATTTCTTCAATTGTTAACACATAACAATAAACTCAAATTTCGCATCTAGTAGTTGCGTATTCACGAGTGTATGATCTATTTGTATTATATAACTTTCCTTTAAATGAGAGCCTTGGGATGAGTTTAAACAAAAACATCAATTCATGTATTTTATTACACAAACTATATTGTTCACAGAGTGTGCACAAACCCAGCAAACAATGGGAAATTCCCTTGAGCGGCCTGTATGTTGCAAAAACGGTAACTTCAGAGAAATACAATGCCGACGCGGTATTTGCCGTTGTGTGGACCCAGACGGACGTCAAGTTTATGAAGAGAACTCTGACGTTACTAAGTTAAGTTGTTTTAACCCAAACCAGAAGGACTGGAGAGAATGTTAAGGATTTTTTTCTTCTTCTAATTTAGCGTCGTATAACATGTCCAAAGCCAGTAAATAAATGCATCAAAATGGCAACATTGATTTATATTTTTCTCCTTGGCTCCCTTTTTTAGTGATGTGACAATACGAATTTACGTGAAGCAGTTATAGTATATATAGTACTACAACGAAATAACAATACTTGAACTTGGGGGTTGGTGTTCACAATGATTAAATATTTACAAGGAATGTTTTAAGTAAAATATTTTAAATCTAAAAATAGTCATGTTTGTTAGAAAGTATACTAATTATTTAAATAGTTTTGTTCAAAGCATTATGATAAACCTTTATTACACTTGTTTCATTTATATTTCTACCCTAACAAATCAATACACTGTAACATCAAAAACTCCATTTTGAGAATAAAATGCAAAAACAATTTTTGTTTTTTGTAACATTTTTGCACATTATATATCTTAAAATGATATCCAGCCAATGCAAGTTTTCTTTGCAAAATAAGCTATTTCTGTTTAAAAACGAATAAGTTGTTTTTCCCCTTAAAACAGCCGAAAGATTTTTTTTTATAATATCAAATGACGGGACGAACAAGTTGTGCGCCTAATGGTAAGCTCAGAGCTTGAAGTCGCAAAGATATGGGGGGCACTGCCACTGCGTCCGTCACCCTGAGACATAAGTTGACAAGTCCCATGTGCCTTGTGTTGAAAAAAACCTTTATCCTTCATAACCGGAACACAGTAATGCTCACATTACTGTTTGGCAGCAGAAATAGGTAAGGTGGCAGTACTTCTCCACGCCTACCGGCGGGGAATGAGGAGTGAGCGCCCAGCTCCCTAAGAGGTCGAGCGAGAGCGCCGCCTCGCGGCGCAGCGCATATACGGGACCGGTGGAAAGAGGGCTTGGCGGATCCCCCCTATGGAGCTCGTACCATAGGGGCGATCCGTCGTGTCCTCGTAGAGTGGGTGAGCCGGTCCCACGGGCCACTGTCGTACCACCTTGTGCAGGTGCTGACCGGGCATGGCTGCTTCGGTCACTACCTACACAAGGTGGCGAGGAGAGAACCGTCCCCGTCGTGTCACGAGTGCGGCGCTGCGGATGTCACCGCGCAGCACACCCTAGAGGTGTGCAGCCGATGGGATGAGCAGCGCCGTATCCTGACGGGGACAATAGGGCAGGACCTCTCGCTGCCGAACGTGGTTGCCGCCATGCTCGGTAGCGAGGAGTCCTCGGAAGCGGTGGCCTCCTTTTGCGGAGAGGTTATGCCACAAAGGGAGGCTGCGGAGCGAGTGCGCGAGAACGCGGCGGACGCGTACCCGCTTCGGCGCAGACGGCCAGGGACTCCGGAGCCTGCACTGCACGGCCTCATTCGTCTGGGGGGCGGGTCGGAGGACAACTGACTTGCCCCTCCGTTGGCGTGGGAGCCCTGGCGCCAACTAGGGCGGCCGGGCGGCGTCGTGGTGAATGTGCACCGACCCCACGGCACCGACTCAACCGGCGGGAGGTAAACCCGGGGGGTTTTAGTTGGGTAGGCCCTCCAGTCTGGAGGGAGAGTTCCCACATTACCCCATGAGTCTCCCTGGGCTCAGGGGTATCCATAAAGATTTCCCCCTAAAATAAAAAGAAAATAAATAAAAAGAAAAGTGACAGTACCTTCCCTGGACGAACTCTTCACAAGGAGCTCTATTGCTATTACAACTTAATTTTAATTTTTAAATATTATGATTATAATAAGAATAATCACAGGTATATGTATGTTCTAATAACAAGTATATCGTGTCAAACTAAAACATTGTACTGGGAATTTCAGTGTTTTGGTTAAATCGTTCTAAATAAGACAAATAAATAAGAATATTACTTAATTATAATAATTAATACAAAGATCGAACACTAAGAAAAATTGTTTCGGTCCGGCTGGAAACCAACCAGCGTTATGTCGGCGCTATATAAATTTGTCACAAATAGTGACAATGCAAAAAAGTCGTTAAAAACCAAAAACAAAGATCTGCAATAAGCACAAAGAAAAATTCGTAAGGTCTGGAGGCCTGGTGGTCCGTAGCACAATTAGAAGAGCATTTAGCACGGATGTCTTGAAGGCGCTGGTTCGAAACCGGCCGGATCCAAGGACTTTTTCTTACTGTTCGGTCTTTATATTAATAATTATAATAGAACTAGTGAAGTAATTTCACAAAAAATAATTGAATATCATGGAAGTTAAACATCCTGGAAATTAAACTCAATTACAATATTTCTTGGAAGAAGCCTCTCAATATTTCTAATACTTCTCTTGTTGTATACAACATCACTAATACTAACCGTCAAATTGAAACGTCACTTTCATTTGTCTCGGTTGCAAAATGGAAATGTTTTTTTATCGAATCCCAGTTTTGTTTGTTTGTACAAACTTTGCTTACTGAAAACTATAAAGAAATTTGCGAGCAATCCATGCGGCAATGTAATTTTTTCGATATAATTTTGCCTGTATAGTTGTGAAATTGCTATTTTAATATCATAGTCGGCGTTATAGGTTATATAGAATTATCGTCATCGGTTTTAGACTTAGACTTATGCCAAACTTATTTTTAGATTGAGGATTCGAATAAACAGGCGTGTTTTTATATTTCCAAGTGCCCTGTGTTGTTTTAAAGTGAGCATCGAAGATGGGATTGCTGATCTCAAGATTTCGAGTAAGTGTAACTTTTTAATTTTTTTAAAAATGATTAATTCTTGTGTTTTGTATTGGAGCCAAGATTATTTCGATTGCATTATGATTTTGGCGCCAATTCAAAGAGATGGCCATGATCTAATAGATGTTATATTGAACTTTTTATAGGCATATTAACTATAATGTATGTCAAACTGTGGAAGATTTGTTGAATAAAGTTTTTATGTAGTCAAAGTAAAAAAATCATTTATTCCATAGGTAAAATAAATTTACACTTGAAAAGTCACATTTAAGCTACTGCTCGTTCACTACGCTGACTTCCCTTGGAAGAATGAGCAAGAAACTCAAGGGATTGCTCTTTTTAAAGAAACTTAAATTCTATGGAATACACTTTGAATCACATTTGTGTGGAATCTAGAGCCATGTTGTCTTTCCATACATTTTTTCTAATACAAAGTCTTTAATTTTGTAACATGACTTTTCAATTAAAATACTTTTAATGTAAATTTTAAACTTAGGAAATGGTAATCTTAATATATACTCCAGAATCTTATTGTAAAAATGTATACAGTTCCCCCTAATAGAGTCATTTACCTTGGTTAAACTAAATAAAATAGAACTTTACTATAAAGTAGACAGAGTATGACCTTAATTATGTTAGTATGTGTTCGGGTTTGAAGGGTAAGGGCCACCAGCAGGGGTGAAAATACAGTCACATTGGACTTCTCAACTTATGTCTTAGGGTGATATGCTCAGTGGCAGCACCTCTCAGATCTTTTCCATATAAATATCTGGTTTAAGCTACCAGGAGCATGACTTGTTCATTCTGCCACTTGGTATCATAAAAATAATCTTGATTTACTTCTTTAAAAACCTTCAAGTCTAGTGCCCTGTTGTGATGAGGGTCGGAACGACAAAGGTATAAATTCCTTAACATGCAAGTGCTAAGACTGGTTTCTTTCGTTATTTAATTAAGGTAATTTGCTGACATGATCCAAATAAGGTTGTAACCAATCAACACCAGCAATTAACACTTATGTAACTAAAAATTTTGTTAACATGGAAGAAATTTATTAACTATCTTCATGGCCAAACATGCTGGTCTGCCATGCAATAGTCTAAAAAACCCGGACGTTTGATCCCCTTCGATTTCTTTCGTGAGTTTGTGCATAATTTTGTTGGATGTATATGTGCGTGTCCATGCACTTATGATACAGAGTTTGCCTAGTGTGGTGCTATTATTAATTATCATTATTAATAATAATGCATACACTCAACATAGCCTCGCACTAGGGCAACCCTGTGTCGCGGGTGCCATGGGCATACACATAGACAACAACAAATTACGCCCAAACTCATGAGAGAAAAAAGTAGACTATACAAATATTTCTCCCGGCCCGGGAATCGAACCTAGGACCCTGTCTGGCAGTCCGGAATGGTAACTGTTCGGCCACAGAGGCAGTTAAAAAGCTATAAGTGTAAGCATTATATTAAAAATATTTCAACTAGCATCTTAGTCAATTGGCATTTCCTCTTGCTATAACTTTTTATTAACATGAAACTGTAATTAGCAAGTAATTGCTTTATACTGTCCATATTACAATCCACAATATTTTATTCCAACTAAATACTAAACCCAGACTTATTCATATCAATGCTGATACCTTTAAATAACCGTCAACCTGTTATCATAGCTTCCTTAATAAACACTAAAATGTTTCAATAACCGTCAATTTCTTTCATCATAGCACTAAGTCTTCCAACTCTGACATTGGTGAAATTATGTTGTAAAATGACATAGCCAAATCTGCACAAAACTTGACTTAGTTTTAATTATAATTTCCTTGCAAGTTACTCATCATAGATTATTATAAAATATATGATTATTACTTTTTTGTAATTAATATAATTTTAATTAAGTGAATAATTTAACAATTAAAAACGTAAAATTAACAAAATTCGAGTTAGCAGTGTTAATTGCAAGTGTCAAAGTGTAATTAACCCTGTAGTTAGCCCCCTTAATAAAAAAGATTTGTAGAGACGCATTGGTGTGCAACAATGGGAATCTAATCCAGGACCTCCTACATAAAAGGCAAGTTTTTTCCCAACTATACTTCTTTCTTTTTTATAATTAGAAACAGCGTATAAACAGAAGCAGTGTTTGTAAACCTTTTTTTTTATAAAACAAATTACAGTAAAGGAAAACTTCTTGAGAATCAATGACAAATGACATGATATTTATATTAATAGAAAGATTTGTGTAGTGTTGGAAACCTCTGTTTATTTAAATTTTTTATAGTGCAAGTCTTTGAAATAGGTCAAGTATTTAAAGTTACAAATGTTTAATTTAATCTTTAACGATACTAGGAGTTGAAGACGACGTCATAATTAAATAACGCACACATTTATAGCCCCAGCACTAGAGAAATGTTATCCCTGTATCGCGGGTGCCAAAGACGCACAAATAGACAACCACAAATTACACCCAAACTCACGAGAAAAATAAATGTAGGCCATACAAATAATTATCTCAGCCGGGAAATCAATAATATCGGCATAGTAGCCATTAGGCCAAAAATTGCACCCTGTAAAAGACGCGAAATTTTTCTTAATTTAATGCTAAAAAACATACTATTTATTCTATCACCCGTTTCAACTTGTAATATCATAAACACCACCTCTATAAACAGGCAATTAATAATATATCTTTTTATTAATTCATTTCCCTATCTTTAGTTACTAAACTTCTTATCTAATTACATAAAATTTTATCCAATTACATATTTTTATTTTTTTCAACATATTAACAATAATTAAGTGTTTTTATTTATTAAACGTCAAGATGTTTCATCATTCATTCAATTATTATTTTTTTAAATTTACTTTACACTAGTTTGTTGTAATTATTAAATATTATAAAGAAACTAAACAATAACTTTTTTAATTGCTATACTTGACATGGCTGTCACAGCCTGTAAGCCATCTGATTTATTATAATCATTATTAATTAATCATTGATGGCCTTGGTTATCCAAAGGCTGACACTGTCGCTGCTAGATAAGGAGACTCAGGGCTCTCCGGAATGACCTACTTATAAATTTTTATTTTGATCGGTTCTTGTCTTAGGTAGTGTCCTAGTTTATTTGTTTATTGGACAAGGACAGCTTATTATTGCTAGGTTGCATTTAAATTATTTAAACTTTTGGGTCATCCTCGATTCTGTCGCTTATTAATTACAAGTGTAGCGATGCAATCGCGCGTTTGCATCGCTGCTAAAAGCCGCCGTGTGTAACAGCTCTTATGATGATTATATATGCTATGATTTGGCACAGTGTGACTTATTTTTTTTTGCCTAAAATAAAAAATAACTAAAAGGTATACAGTTTTCGTCAGCGGAAGGTACGCTAGCAGCTTTCGAAAAGGACGTAAAAGAGGTATCTGATTGGAAATTTGGTTCAGACGCATGAAACTTTGTGTAGACAGTGGCAGAGAGTTCCTTTAAAAGGTTTCATACATACATACATACACTTCAAACCTTTTTCCCATCGGGATAGGCAGAGACAACAGTCTTCCATTTGCTACGGTCCTGACACGCATCTTTCGTCTTATTAACACGCATCATGCTTTCATACACGCTCATCGGTTATGGGTACTCTTGACCTAGCCCTTTAGGTTAGCCTCAATTTGGTCATCGTATGGAGCGCACACTCGCCTTATAAATCACTTTTGTCAGTCTTCTTTCATTCATTCTCTCTACGTGTCCGACCCATCTAAGCATCCCTTTCTCTGTCTTGTCACTACAGTTTCCACGCCGCAACTCTCTTTTATCATACTGTTCCGTATTTGTCCACCAGAGTCACTCTAGCCGTACTTCTCTAAGCTAAAAAAATTATACTCGTAAAACATTTTTTCTTTAGTTTCGCAAAACTTTCTTGAGTGCTCCACGGTCGGTCTTACAAAAAATGTATGGTACGCCTAAGGATATTGTCTAAAGAATGTGCTAATTTATTACACAATAGACTGCACTTTACCACATCATATAAAATCCCGAAACAAACTATATTAGAGCCTAAAACGAATCGAATAAAATATCTAAGTTTGCACACGATTTTTATTTATTTATATATAAAACTACATACAGAGATATTTCTCTATAAATTACTACAGAGCTGCTAAATTTTGATTTTCCACTGAAAACATGAAAATTGCCCAGCGGTTTATCAGTCGCCATCGGGCGGTTGTTAACGTCGGATCTGTCTCAAATTTTCTCCGCCTGTTCTTATTTAATCATATAAAGTTTCTGCGCGCAGATTCCGGTACACACTTCACCTCCTAAAATTTCGGCTCGCGTTGAAGTACCTACTTCGCTTCTACTTAACCTTTTCAAAGCGGGAGTGATTAGACATTATTTAGAGAGAGTTCACGCTCCATCGTCGACCTCATCGTCACTTTCCATCAAGTGAAATGGAGGTTATTACTGCTTTTGAAATTAGTCGACACCTATAGACTATTCTATAATTTTAGACCTGCACGTGTGTTGAATACCTATATGAATGCATGGAAATTTACTAAGCCCATGTACATACATTAATAGTGTCGTAAGCAGATCGATACCTTCAATGAACACTACTCCGCCAACTTTATCTTTCGATAATTTTCTGTTATTTTTGTAACTGCCATATTTATTTAATAATATTATGCTCCCTAAATTTTGTGAAAAAAATAAACAAAAAATAAAATAAAAACAGAAGTGATCCAAAAATTAAGTTTAAGCGTAGTGTTGGAGGTATCTAGATAATATATTCGTCGATTTGGGCGAATGCTGGCTAAACTTAGTTTAAAACTCACTGCATCAGTCACCAAGAAAAGGAAATTTGCCAGATTATTGTAATCACCAATAGGAGATTTAATAAGTTTAACACTTACATTAAAAATATTTTCATTGAAAAGTCATAAGTATTACAAAATTGAAAAGTATGTGTTAGATAAAGGTGTATGAAAAGGCAACAAGTCTAGATTCCA